TGTTTCTCTTTCAATCCTTATAATCAATAATTTTCAGGTATGTAAATTTGATAATTTATCTGAATCATTACAAGATACATTACAGGTTAGAGAGCTAAATCAAAGTTCAGGTAAGTTACAGAGATAGGAATTAGACAAAAAGATGTGTATCTCCCAATGGCTCTTCTTTCCACATAAATCCAAAGGCTTCTATGTTAGGATATCACACTCAGAATTATTAAGATAGGCCTGTGATAGTAGCAAAAAACAAGAAACCTTATATGTACAAGAAGTGTAATAAATATTTTAAAGCTAAAATAAAATTTTACTGTGTCTCTGAGTTTAAGGAAGACAGGTTCCATGATTTTGGCCATTATACATGAACTGCCTTTTAACAAAATGTATCATATAATAAATTATGTCATGATTATGAAGTAGAAAAACAATAACTATTACATCATAATAAAGAAGCACCTTTGGCACTGAAAAAAATGTATTTATTCATCCTGAGAGGCAATTGTTCTTGATTCCCTATAGGGTTTCATCTTACATATAACACTGACAACAATGAACAGAAGCCAAGAGTTCTGTAATCCATGAGCTGTATTCATTGATGCTTCCTCATAGAGAATCAAGCTATTTTATTCACAAATGGGTACTCGCTCATGCAAATAAATGATAATTACAAAATTAAGCATATCAAAAACTCTACATTCTTCCAGTCATATATAATACATTCTCAATTATTAGTTGATAGTGATTTTCAAAATATCATAGAATACTTTTTTGTATAAAATGTTAACTTAATATTTTAAATATTATAGCTCTAATTTATTCCCATATTTTTAAAAAGATGTTGAATATGGAATGATGAAAGAACCATGAGAACACTTCTGTACAATTAGGTGTATCAAAAGAGACAACTGTTTGTCATTGGTTTTATTCCACCTATACAATTTTATTTATTTATTTATTTAATTTTTTTAATGTATTTTATTGATTTTTTTTTTTTTTTATAGAGAGAGGAAGGGAGAGAGATAGACAGCTAGAAACGTCGATGAGAGAGAAACATCGACCAGCTGCCTCTTGCACACCTACCAGGGATGTGCCCGCAACCAATGTACACGCCCTTAACCGGAATCGAACCTGGGACCTTTCAGTCCCAGTCCGCAGACTGACACTCTACCACTGAGCCAAACCAGCTTCGGCCACCTATACAATTTTAATTGCATTTAAAAATAATTTTAAGCATTGATGCTGGAAGCAAAATAAAATGAGGAGATCAGAGTTTCATGCAGATTCACATGAGGATATTAGATACTGCCTGTCAACAGCAATCTTCCATTTTCCATTTGAAATTTTTCTTCTCAATAATCAGTATAGAGAAACCATCTAGTAATATTTAATTATTCTACCTTTTGCCATTATTTTGGTGCATTCACTTGAATTTTATTTTCAAAAACCTAAAAATAAAGATTAAGTAATACAAAACTCATATTTACTAATCACAATTGCAAAATGGAATTCTGTGATACTTCTCCTCATGTTTTGGATTAGTGATTTAATTTAATATGAGACTATTAGCTTTTTCTTTTATTTTAAATCTTAATTTCTAAAATTATTGAGCTATTTTATTTCATTTGGTTAATTTAATTTGATTTTTCTTTTTTTATTGACCTTAATGTGGTGACACTGGTTAGCAAAATTATATGTTTCAGATGCACAATTCCACAACACATCATCTGTACACTATATTGTGTGTTCACCACCACATTATGCATAATGAGATATCATATGATAATTTTCTTCTCTTTCTGTACTGCAAAGGATGAAAATACCAAGCACAAGTCTAAATAATGCCAGATGCAATATTCACATGGACCCAATTCTGTTCATCTGAATTTTCTCATTATTATCATCATCGCTCTTTCAAATAATTTGTATGTCTATTTACAATTTACATGTAGAGGCTATCTTCTTCAGTCTTTTTTTTTTTATATGACCATTACCTTTTCCATGGATTTAGAATTAGAGTTTTGCATGAATGTGCTCAGTTGTTAAAAGGGAATTGTCTTTGGCCACCAATCCATAATGCTTGGAATGTTTCCAGATGGCCACACTGATTTCAACTGTTCTGCTACACAATGTAGATTGTTTTAGGGCTGTCATTGGGACATTTCCAGAGATAAAATTGCTTTAAACCATTTGGCCTTTCTTATCTTTTGTTTCTCATTATTTTAAATCTCTACTACAGCACTAACAGGAGTTTCCTATAGAAAAAAAAAGAAGAGAAGCAAATCCCCACTCCCCCCCACACACACACATACCCTGCATAGACTCATATTTCTAAGCAAGGTTCTTTTTCCAAGGACTGTTATCTTTTTTGTTAAGTGTACTTTTGTGCTCATAAAAAGTTTGAAATTTGATAAGTGAAAAAGAACTTATTTTTATCATTAGAACAAACAGTGGTGAACTATAGCTTTTCTTATGTCGACATATGACCAAGTCCAAAAATTAGAGGTAGAACATAAATTTAAAACTTATAAATCTTTATCTTATAGTTAAAAATCAAAAAGACAAGTGAACTTTTTATTTTTTTTAAATTCTAGGAAGAATGTTTATTGCAATTAATATCTAAGTGTTCATTCTTTGTGGCTGTATTAAGTTCATTAATCCACTTATACAAACACTCAGATAGCTATTCTTTGCTATAATTTTTTTTTGTTAACTACCCAGCTCCAATTACAAAAGCACAACTCTTAAGGAGAAAGAATCTATGTATTAATCTTGTAAGTAATCCAAACTTACAAAAAAAGAATCGTCTCTCACAGTTTCTTTCTCACTATTGTTCTGGTCCATAAATGATTTTCAGCTCCTAAGTCATTTATTCATTTTCTGTTTATCAAATTATTAGACCCTAAACATTCTTAAAGAAACTATGCATTATTTAGAGATGGAATCCCACTTGATCCAGAATAGTTATTCAACTATAAAGATATGTAGGTATATTCAATTATTAAATTATAATAACAATTACAAAAAATGATTTTTAATTTAACTCTGTGATCAAGTGATGAAGAAAAATTACAAATGTGAACTGTTAATATTTTCTATAAAAGTATTAAGTTCTCAGACAAATTATTAGAATTTAAGTCAGAAAAGATTCAGACAGATATCAGAATATGATAAAGTCAACGTGGAGAGTAGAATGTGATGTTTCTAATGAGAATGTCTCTTAAAAAATTGATAGTACCTGAGTGATAATAGAAAAGGTTTCCTTCTGTCATGTTTGAGCAGATGGTAAAGGAAAAACAGATTAATATGTAAAAGAAATATTTGAAGGAACTGGGCTATCAACTATATTAAACCATGAAGGCTTTAAGTTTCTTGAAACCAGTAAAAAGTAACATCTTATAAATCAAAAAACTAATTATAAAAAGAAAATTACAAAATATAACAGGAGAGCTACTTGTGATTTATTTGAAATTTCTTCTTTGATTTAGATAAAAGTTTCCTTTGTAGTTCAGATTAAGCATCACAAGATTAATGGTACACTTAGATAAGTACTTGAACATTTTTCCAGTTACTTTCTTTGGAGATCTGGCCTTAACAGAGCACACATAAATTGCCTATGACTTATTACAGTTACATAACCACTTAATAAATGCTGACACAAAGAATCGTCTCTCAGTTTCTTTCTTTTTTTCTTCTTTCTCACTACAAACATCTGATTTCATCTCTTCAGAGAATTTTGGGGACTACCAGTGACTGGCAACTACAATTCTAATCCCAAATTTATATCCTTCAAATAAATTACATTTCCTTCTTCTTCACATAACTCCTAGCAACTTTTGTATCGAGCTTGGTTATTAATATCTAAAGAGTGCTATTGCATAGTTTTCAAATTAATTTTTGCTCTAATTCCTAAATTATCTCTATCTCAATTTTGTCTCTTAGTTATATAAAATCATATGAACATACTAAGAAGATTAAATCAAACACTTAAAGTGCGTGAATTGTACATGAATTTTACCCAAATAAAGATGGTAAAAAGTAAAATAACACTCCCGTTTCAAGCAAATTAAAATGATCATAAGGACAAAGATGATTACCTAACAAGAAGAATCTGTAGACTGTTGGGGAATCACATCAGAGGGGGCCTCTAAGATGAAAGTCAGGTGGTGAGTCAAGTGAATCTGAAAGGGTTCTCAAAGAAATGACAACAGGGCAAAACCTCTAAGAATGAAGGAGAGCCCACCATGAAAGGAATTAGAAATTGGAATTCTAGTGAGTAAGAGACATCCTACCAGAGACAGTTTAATTTCCAAAAGATCTTGAAGCACGAATAAATTAAATAAACACATGAGAATTGCTCAACATCTGATCTTTTCAAGACTTGTTGAAATAAAGTAGAAAGCAAAACCTGTAGCAATTAGAAAATGTGTTCTAAATCGAGTTAATGTTTAGTGTATTTGATTGATTTTAGAGCATAAAGGCACCTCTTATTAATCACAATTTTTTATATTCATGCCTCAGAGATTTCAAGAAAGAAAACCTAAATGAAAAAAATTATACCTTTAAAAACATTATTTTAAATATCGTACCAATCACAGAGTCATATAAATTTTATCTGACTATACTCTTCTTCTCAGGGAACTTATGAAACATACAACAGACTGTACTTCAAAAACATGCTTTAAGCCCATTTTGAAAAGATGAGTTAGAGCAGATTCTTCCTTAGGCTTGAATTGAAATTAAAAATTATGCCATCTAAAGGCTAAAGTTTTTGTTGTAAGAACCAATGAAGTACTCATTCTGTAAGAGAACTCAGAGAATTTGATTAATGCTAGCATTTTAATATAAATATTGTATGTCAACACATGTTTGTGGTATATTATTCTGACATGTGTTTATAGTAAATTAATGCCTTCAGTAAAAATTGAAATATCTTTATAAGAAAATAAATATTAAAATATTATAAGTTCAGTAAGTGTTTATTTTAATATATATATGAGAAAGTCATGGTGCAAGAAGAGGAAGATATTAGGGACTATAATTTGAATGATAAACAGAAGGTGACCAAGGCCAAGTATCCTCCCGTCAAACAGAAGTATAAATATTTGGGTCATACAGTGGAAGTTCAGTTACACCCATGGGGAGATACTATGAAGGAAGTTTTTGAGCAACGGGCAATGGCCATGTTTGGTTACATGACAGGTGCTGAGACAGTGAACCCTTTCCAAGCAATAGAAGTAGAAAACCAGGGAGATGATTTACAGTCTCTTCTGTTTCACTTTTGGAATGAGTGGCTTTATAAGTTTAGTGCTGATGAATTCTTCATCCCCTGGAAGTAAAAGTACTTAGTCTTTTTTTTTTTTTTTTAACTTTAGGTCTCTTTCTTAAAAAAAAAAAAAAAAAAAAAAAAAATATATATATATATATATATATATATATATATATATATTATTGAATTTTTACAGAGAGGAAGGGAGAGGGATAGAGAGTTATAAAAATTGATGAGAGAGAAACATCGATCAGCTGCCTCCTGCATGCCCCCTACTTGGGATGTGCCTGCAATCAAAGTATGTGCCCTTGGCCAGAATTGAACCTGGGACATTCTATCCACTGAGCCAAACCGGTTTCTGAGAAAGTACTTAGTCTTGATCAAGTAAATTTTAAATTATGGTCAATTGTGTGGAGAGAAGAATTCTCATTGTCCAAGCACCTTCAGGAAATTGAAGTAAAAGCAATAACATATTCAGACATGCAGGGTCTATACTGAAGAGTAGCCAGATTTTTGGATCATTGACATCCCATATAAGAAAAAGCTAACATGCTAATAGACCAAATGCTGGAATAACCAGACAACCAGTTGCTATGACATTGCTGACCACCAGGGGGTGCATGCAGAACATAATGTGAGTTGGCAGCAGGTGGTAGAGCATGGAACATGGTGGGTGTCAATGGAGCTGATGAGCTGGGGCACCAGATCAAGGTGGGGTGCTGGTAGCTGTCATTGGGGTGAACCTTTGGTGGTTACTGAAAATTCTTTGCTCCCATGTGTCGTGGTCCTGCCTGAGGCTTGCACCTGCTGCTGGCACTGGCCCCACTCACAACTGCTGCTGGCACCAGAGCTGCCACTTGTATCTGCAGCAGGTGCCTGGCATCTGCCTCGATCATTAGGTGAGGTGCCATCAGCAGGTGTGAGTGGTGGCTGCTGGCCCTGATTGCCCCTCAGGGCTTCTCCACCTCCCACTTCTCCTGAGGGGTGATCGGACAGCAGTTGCTGCTCACACCCACTGATGGTGCTGTCCCTACTTGTATCTGCTGCTGGCACCAGCCCCAATCACTTTGCCTCATCAGTGGGTGCAAATGGGGCCATTGCTGTCAGTGCGTGGGAGCTGTAAGGGCAGAAGTAGGGCTGCTGACAAAGAGGAAACTGAAGGCCAAGGTTGGAGGGACTGGGCAGGGGTGTGGAGGATGGGCTGAGACCTGCCCTTGTGCCCACCACAGCCTAGTTGCCCACAGTTCCTTTCAAGATGCACAAATTCATGCACTGGGTGACTAGTTTAAGGTAAAGAAAAAAACTCCTCTAAAGAAAATTTTTTTTAAATATATATTTTATTGATTTTTTATAGAGAGGAAGGGAGAGAGATAGAGAGCTAGAAATGTCGACGAGAGAGAAACATCGACCAGCCCCCTACTGGGGATGTGCCCGCAACCAAGGCACATGCCCTTGACCAGAATCAAACCTGGGACCTTTCAGTCCGCAGACCGACGCTCTACCACTGAGCCAAACTGGTTTCGGCTAAAGAATTGTTTTTTCTCTTCCTTTTGAAAAGATACCATGATATAAATTCTAGTCTCTGATGTTATATGATGGTTTGCAAAACAGAAAATTTTTACTAAAGTATGACTTTTCCACAAATGGAAAATCAAGGCATTGCTTTGGTCTGTATCAAAGAATTCTTCAGGTAGCAAGAATGGTTCCTTATTTATTTATTAATTGTTGTAGCAAAAGGTGCCTCACACCCTTCCAATGGAATGCTAACCCTTCAACCTCAACCTAAAAGGGATCATTGGTGTAAACAGTAGCCAAAGGATTCTGAAACCTTCACATTCATATTGAATCTAATTTGAAAGAAAAAAAACTAATAATTTGAGAAATCTTACAATCAAGATTTTACCTTTTCTCCAAATGGGTTGAGACATGTATTTTCTTTGTGTATTTTAGGAGTGGTTGTATTTTAGAATGCTATAGTACAGGACCATCATACATTCCAGTTGGATATCTTAGAAGAAATAATTATAGTTGGAGAATAGAAGACTTCTCTAGAAAGAACAAATTACCTATTTCACTTTTTTAAAAAGCAGTGATGTATTGATACTTTCTTTTTTCCCTTGAGAAAAATTTAATGTCCCTAGAAATGGCCCCTTCTACAATGTAATTTTATGTTAAAGCCAATATATTTATTCAGTTAGGGAAGAATGGGAAAATTTTTATTTTTTTTTGTTTGTTTTTGTTTTTAAAAATTATTTGAGCTCTTCATTTCTGAGAAGACAGGATGGCAGGAAAACAACTTTAAAATTATCTGAACTGAGCTGTAGTCATGGCACCATAACGTCGTCGCAGCCATTGTAATGTCGAACGTGCGGTAAAGTTGTAGCCCTGGCTCCTTTGTGTCCGAAGCAGCGTCTTAGCGGAGGCTATGGGCCAGAAGATCCTGTTGAAGCCCTAAGAAAGGAAGAGAAGATGGATGGAAGTTCTGGATTCGTTGATTTTCCTGATGCATTAGCAGAGAGACCTGCCTCAGCCAATGGAGGGAGTGAAAATAGGCAGCACCTTAGACTCTTATCTGCACTGTACGTGGAAGCCTTTACCACCCCTCCAGAACACAGTCTGCACATCTGTGCTTCCCAGCAGCCAAGCTGTAAAACACCCTTCCCTGCTCTTCACAGAACAACTGTCAGATGGACCAGCACCCATGCTAAGGGCAACTTACAAAACGCTACAAAAGATAAGCTGCGTTATGACCAAGTCACAGATGTTGAGTGTTTTCATGAAAGAGAACCGAAGAGAACCGGGTTTAAGATGTCCCGGTTCTGGTGCAGTGTGGATGGGAGGTCAAGTTTCACCGGCCAGCCAGGCTCCAGCAAGAAACCGGGTGACGGTGCCCCCGAGCCTTCAACCGCTGAGTGCGGGCAATGGAGCCAAGGCCGGGGGCTGCTTCCTGGGCGGCGGTGCCGACCCTGGCTACAGGCTAAAGCAGCGCAGGAGCCCGCAGAGAACAAAGGGGTGCCACAGGCCAACCTGCTGAGCTTCCAGGACAAGGAGGAAGAAACCGAAGAAGTTCTCAATGAGAAGAAATCAAGGGAGAGCAAAAGATAGTAAAATTACTTTAAAAAGAACACAAAGAAGATCTTGAAAAATCAAAGACTAAGTCAGAACTTAACTCAGCAGCCAACATTGCAACATAAATGTTGTTTTTAAAAAAAAAAAAAAAAAAAAAAAAAGGACAGAATGTTGGAACGGTGGCGGCCAAGCCTAGAGTGGCCAGGCACAAGGCAGTGGCAGCTGGGCCCGGAGCAGCAACGGCCAGGCCCCAGAGCAGCAGCAGTCATAACCAGAGCAGCAGCAGCCAGGCCTGGAGCAGCCAGACCTGGGGCAGTGGCAGCCAAGCCTGAGGCGGAGGCTGCCAAGCCCAGGGTGGCCAGTCCAGGAACACCCAGACCCGGAGTGGCTGGGCCTGGAGAAGCCGGGCCCATAGCAGCCGGGTTGGGAGCAGCCAGGCCCAGAACAGCAGTAGCCAAGCCCGGAGGATCCAGGCCGGGAGCGGCCAGGCTCGGAGCGGCCGGGTCTAGGGCAGCCGGGCCCAGAGCAGCCAGGTCAGGTGCGGCCAGGCCCGGAGCAGCTGGGCCCAGAGCAGCCAGGTCGGGTGTGGCCAGGCCCAGAGGAGCGGCTGCTGGGCTGGGAGCGGCCAGGCCCGGAGCGGCCGCACCTGGAGCAGCCGGGCCCAGAGCAGCCGGGTTGGGTGTGGCCAGGCCCAGAGCAGCAGCGGCCAAGCCCGGAGCAGCGAGGTCAGGAGCGGCAGTGGCCAGACCCGGAGCAGGTGGTTGTGGAACGAACCAGAGCAACAGAGGCCAGGCCCTGAGCAGCCAGGCCCGGAACAGCTCGCTCCTCGCCTACCCCCGCCCCATGGCTGCCTCTCAGACATGGCTGGAAACTTTTGCGGGAAATTGAGGGTCTGCTGAATCAAGTGATGAAGGCTTAGATTTGGATGTGTTGAGTTAGTATAGCGCTGGGGTGTTGATCTGTGAGTGTCTTGTGCGGGGCCTGGATGAGGTTGGTTGACCTATTTGGAAATGTCTTTTGTGTGAAGTGTATCTTTGAGCATGTGGAGGTATTATTGATATGAGAAAATGCTAAGTAACTGATTTACTATCTGAAAAGGGATTTACTATTGGGGAAAGGGAGGGAGGAAAAGACTGAACATAAACTGTGCACCTATGGATGAGGACAATGGGGGAGGGGAAGGGGGCGGAGGGTGGGGTGGGAACCTGGTGGAGGGGGGAAGAAATGAGGAACCTTTGTAATAATATGAACAATAAAGATTGATTTTTAAAAAATTAAAAAAATAAAATAAAAAATAAAAAATAAAAATAAAATAAAAATAAAAAAATAAAATAAAATAAAAATAAAATTATCTGAACTTTTGTCAGGCCACAGTGGCTCAGTGGTTAAGTGTCAATCTATGAACCAGGAGGTCACAGTTCAATCCCAGTCAGGGCACATTGCCTGGGTTGCAAGCTCAGTCCCCAGATGGGGCATGCAGAAGGCAGCCAATCAATGATCCTCATCATTGATATTTCTATCTCTCCCTCTCTCTCTCTGAAATCAATAAAATATATTTAAAATGTAAAATAAAATTATCTGAACTTTTTAAAGTAGATAACTTCTAAAAAATAAAATGTATATGAGAGAAGGCATAGAACTAAAATTAAAAACTTAAGTTTTAGAGTCATACTAATTAAATTTTGACATTTTATTCTAGCTGTATCTAACTATGGATATTGAAACAAATGTCCTAGTCTTCCTCTGACTGTTTCTTCATTTATTAAATGGAGGCATCGACATTCTAGTAATAGAATTATAGTGAGAAAAGAATATAATGACAAGTGCTTGATTAGCAAAAAAGATACTTTCTAATCTAATTTTAATTTAGCTATAATTTTTATTTATTGAACTTACTCAATAAGCAAAATAGTGAAATGACAGAAATTTTTGGATTTTTTTTCTATTTTAAGAAATATATGATAGCATAGAGAATGAGAATATTTGCTGATATCAGATTGA